TCGGTGGTGGTGGTTTCGTTCGGGGTTGTCATCGTGTTTCGATTCTGTTTTATGAGATTTAAAAAGAAATAGATTCGTGCTCTGATACCATGTCACGATCAAAGAGGCACAAGAACAAGATGGAAGAATTTTCTATTTCTCCGTCATTGTGATCGTACAAGCTTATATGTGCAGAAGTAATTGARCTACTTGCCTAATATACAGAGATCGCTATTAGCTACATAAGYAAATACATGAATCACGGGATTGACATCCCTATACATAAGGAAATACATGAATCACGGGATTGACATCCCTACATATTTGACAATGCAGGCCCGCTTGTAATTTTCTAAAACCCCGGAATCATTATATAACAATGCAATAAAAATACTTATCATATTTAAAACGATAATACACATTTTTATCAAAAAAAAAAAACAATAATACACATGTAAAATGAATCAACAAGGCTTAACTTCTCAACCACACTTTATTATCTTCTCGGAACAACAAAAAGGAAACTTATTGGCAAGTTTTATGGGAATTTAGGTATATTTACAAACACAAGAAAGAGAAGAAGATTGAGGGGACAATTTCTTACAAAACCCACCAAGACGAAACCCGCTGGATACGCAATATTTGTTACAACGCGGTAGTTTCGCACATTCTCCAGCTACGTAAAGCCATTCCGTCCGACCACTCTTTCCACCCCGTCCTCCTGCCGTAGCCGCGGTCGTGTCCATAGTCCGGCCCGCATTAGTAGCCCTCCCTTCTGTATCATCATATCAAAAACAATTTGTGCTTCTCCACAAAAAAAAAAAATATATATATATATATCGATCATAACCGGAAAGAAACTACTTTCAATGGATCATACGACTACAAGTTTACATACCTGAAATTAGAAGAAGAGCAATGTACACAAAGAGACAGAGACAGAAGAGCTTGATGGTCATTCTTGTGTTAGTGAAATGCACTACTCACTCTTTGATTTGCCTTTGATGTGATTTTTATGTGCTTTTAATTATGCCGAAACGCCTTATTTATATAGATGTGTGTGTAAGTCATGACCTACATTACTTTATCTAGTTTTATACACGTAAAATTCGTCCTTCTTTTGCTACCAAATAATTTCGACTCATAGTAGCTAGTGCGGAACCATTTATTATTTTAATTAGTATATCGCAATACCTAACAACTATGTGACTTTAATAATTACATAGATTTAGGAAGATGATTATGGACCATTAATAAATGGTGGTGCGTTTGGGGTCATTAATAAAGTGAGAAAATTATAAAGAAGGGAAAATGGGTTAGTTGAGTGCTTTGCATAAGTTGGGGAGAGATTTCCGATCTATTTTTGACTATATTTGCTCTACCTTTCACTTGTCTACAAATGGTTTTGCACATTAAGTCAAAAGTACGAATGGAGCCAAAAAATCTGAGAGTAAAAAGTCCCAAAAAAGTATGAGAAAGTATAGAAAAACAAACAAACAAAGTTGTCTAAATATATCTTCATTAACTAAATTACTTAAAGGAAAATTGGACAAAAATCTTTAAAAAAATATATCTATAAATTTTAAAATTGGATAAATCTTATCAAGTTTAAGAAAAACATTA